TCTTTTACAGATTATCTGTCTCATGTTCTACTGTCATGTCATATGACAAACATTAGGAGTTAGGAGAAAAAGTGAGGAGCAAACCTGATGAATTCAGACTGGTCGGGGTCATACAGAGACATGAGCAGCTCAGCATCTTCTCCGATGTTGCACACAAAGTTCTTGAGGTTCATGAGCAGACTGTAGGTGTGCACTGTACTGAACAGGGTCTGACGCCTCATTTCCAGGTTTTGTAGCCGCGTCTGCAGAAAAAGCAGAAAGGCAGTGCAGAGACACAGATGTTATTGAGATGGACTTCTACTGTGGGGTTACTGTTATTATGAACTAGAGTTGTTCGATACCAATACCACATTTTTTCCCCCAGGATAGCGAAGTCATGACCCGCCATTCTCTGACTCTTAGTCAACTCAGAATGACAGCATGTTTTTTGGTTAGAAGGGCCCCATAGAAGAAGTTCAGGGTGGCTGTCATGATGAAATTTCTTTATGGTGACGTTTAGAAACATGCTTCATGCTGTGTGGTCAAATGTAATTTTTTCAGATGAAGAATCAATGAGGGAAGTTATTTTGAGTGTTAAAAATATATACATTTGAGGCCACTTATTTAGGAGCATTGTTGTACATAATAATATTGTTTACTCTTTTGGTTTGAGTATACATTAAGGGCTACAGGATATGGTAAAAATGCTTATTTAGACAGATACTGCGATAGGATTCATGATTAGTGGGAAATATTCATTTTTGCATCCCAAATTTAATTTTCATTGAAATAATCTATTCAAATAATGATTGTGTAACATTTGTTGGAGTCTCTGCAGCACTACAGCACTTCCGATTTGCATTTGTGATTAATAGTGCAGCCCGAAAATGCATCATAACAAAGGGGATAACATAGGCCTAAGGCAAGGCTTTTAATTGGACTTGTATTTATACAGCGCTTTCTGGTCTATTGACCAATCAAATGGTGTTTTTCCACCGAATTAGCTCTGGTTCTTGAACCAATTCCGTTGGTGCTATCTAGTGAACCAGCCTGCATTTCCACTGTAATTGTCGTCAACAGGCTCTCTGTTGTTGTGATGTTGTGTCAGTTGCACAATGCCCCTGTAGAATATGACATGCTCACTTTGGTTCCAGAGGAAAAGCTGCAATTTTTCAGGTTCGGAACAAGTTTATTTTTGGTTGAAATGCGCTGAAAGGTTTAAAGCTAGGTGCCTGAACCGGAACAGAGCTGGTTCCATGTTGGTGGAAAAGACCTAAAAGAGACACTTGTTACATTCACCTGTTCACACACTGATTGGTATGATACGGTACTCGGTATCGGTCAATAAGTAACGTTTGGGTATCTGGAAGGAAGAAATAGTATCAGAACATCTCGATTCTGAACAAATCTAAATCCACCTTCTCTTCTTGTATCCTGTCATCCACACTGCGGGAAGCAGTCTCGTGCGCCCGGAACAGGCTGACCGTACTGGTCCTGTCAGGATCCAGCGTGTTTCCTGCTTCATCTCGCACCACCAGATCCAACCCCAGAATCCTGGAGGATCAAACAGCATCCGTTCACAGAGACGCTCTCAGAGCCGTGACTCACATATAACTTTACAGCTGTGTTTATTGCAGCGCAATAAGAAGCAGGATTCATACCGGTTTCCATAATCAATCTTTGCTGTGACTTTCTTTTTGAGCTCCACAAGGTCATCCTTAGGCAGCGTTCCCGACACTATCTGAGATCGATATTCGATGAGGCTGTAGGCCATCTGCTGAACGCTCCTGAACAGGGTTGTTTTGTTCGCCTGTCAGACAAACATGGAAAAGCTCATAGCAAAGCATTCTTCACAGGTAGGAAAGAAAAGAAGAAAGTGGTGTGCAGGACGACTAGAAACAGAGGGTCTGATCCACACATACCACGAACAGCTTGTGCCATATCTGTGCCCATTCCCTCAGAGTAGCCCCGAGCTCCAGCACCAGGGGTAAATCTGCTGGAATAATTATTTCCTGCTGGCTACCGGCCACAAAACAAAAAGAAGAGAATAATAAGATATTGACAAAGCAGCTCATCACTCACAGATCATGTCATATAATTTGGACAGACACGAGCACATTTCTATACAAGATAAATAGTTGGATGGTTTCCCTACACAGCCAAGAACAGCATTACTGAATCCTCACTTATGATAATTACAAGTGCACTGCTGTGTTATTGGCAAATGACAAGACGGGGCGGCAAACCAAAAGTAAAGTGGATTATCATCACGATATGTTTACTGATGTGCGGTCTCACCCTATTCCCTCGACCGTAGCCTCCTTTAAGTGGATGTAGGAAGCTGGGAAAATGCCCTGAGGAAACAATGAATTAATCAGTATATATACATCACAGCATCGGTTACAGGATAATGGAGTGCTAATGATGCCCTTACCTTCTGTGATTTATTGTGTAGTGTGTAGCCCCTGTACCAGCCTGAGGAAATATAAATTAATAGAGATATGTGTTACAGTGAGGGAGAGGCAGTGGACGAGACAGGGGTGATGATAGTCCACCCTGTCAGGAGGACAATGTGGTGGGCTCATTTACATTATTATGCATGGAATATTGAGTGCCGGTTAGTTCAGCATTTCACTGAGCTTCCTGTGCCAGCTTGCTTTAGAGCCGGGGAAAGAGGGATGTGTCGGGGCCTGTTGCGGCTCACTCACCTTCCAATTTCTCAAGTATGTGCACCGTGTCCCCCACCTGCAGACACAGCTCCTGCTCACCACTGGGATCATAATTGTAGATTGCTGAAGGACAAAGAAGGACAGTCTCATTATGAGGAACGCACACAACATTTAACAAAAAAATAATAAAAAACAGTTAAAGAAAATAATTCGGCCGACAGTTTGACTGGCGAGTTTTGTTCCTCCTCAAGGTCCACTGGATCAAGAAAAACCCCAAATCCCTTTCCAATCACTCACTGCACAGAGGAGCGAGCCTGCTTTTAAAAAAAGTTCTGGATCAGAGATTTGCAGAGCTTTCTCCCAGGAAAAGGAAACCAATTCACCCTCTTTGTCGCAGAACTTGGATGAGAAGGATCTCGATCTTTTGATTTATTCTTCATCTTGCTGCTCCCTCTAACAGCGGTTTGTGTGTTTGTGCAGCAGAACCGTGTGACTCAAACCTTTAAAGCATTTTGACGATTCTTAATTGAAACGGATGCCCTGAGGCTGCGTTTAACGTTGCAGTAAATGGGACTGCGCTGCAGCTGCTAGTTTCTGTGTCAAAAGTGAGGAGTAGGGCTAAAACGGCAAAGGCATCACATCCTCTGATATCATCGTAGCACTGCGGCCTTTGGTCAACAGTCACACTCTGCAGGTTCGGTGTCTGCCAGCTGGCTCACCTGCGAGCCCTGCCCCTGCCCACACACACTTTATTAACCTAACAGCTTTCTCTTTCCTTTGTAACTCCCTAACCAGGACATGTATGGGAGGGATTACACAAGAATACTCGTGTGCACGCTAACACAGGCACATGCACGTACACGCACAAAAACTGACAGACGTTTCAAAAGAGAAACCTTGGCAAACAATACTGTAGCAAAGGTCTTTGTCATGACTTGAGGGAGCTGCAATAGCGCGCAGCCACTCATTCTCATAGTGAGACAGAGGAACTATGAGCAGAGCTCTGCCCTGACTTGCATGGTGATAATGCTTGTTGCTGGAGGCTAGATTTCACAGCACGCTTCAACTGGCTCAGCTTATCACACCTCAGTCTGAATACCAAAACTTGACTTGACTGAATGTGACTACCCCTCTCTCTCCATGACTTCCTCCTTACTGATAGATTTTTCTAGCTTTTCCATAGAAACACATTTGCCCAGACAAACCACCTCCATAGGGAGTCGGTTTCTAGTCTGCCTTTGTGTAACCAGCCCATGGCTTCTTAAAATATTAAGTTAGGCCCACGCTGGCTATGTTGTTAAAAAATCACCTGCAAAGGTTGGTGTGAATGACGGCGTATTGTGAGATCCCTCATCCGGTCATCAAATGGGAAAATAAGTACTGAAATCTTCTGAAACTCTGCAATATCAATGACACTTTCTTACTTTCTCACTTTCTGCTTAAATCAAAAGTTTAATGTCCACACTATATTGATCAGCCAATGTTGGCTCAGCACAGACATATTTTCCGGTACATAACGTAGAAAAAATGATGTGCTGAACCGAAATATTCAACTATATGTTTGTTGAGTTGTTGATGTACTAGGGTTTCAATTTTGGGACTTTGATTTATGCACTAAAACTCTTTCACACTACAACAACTATTTTGAGAGATCATCCACAAATACCTCCAGATTAGATGCAAATCAACATGTGTCTGTACAGAATACAGATCATTGTTATGGATTATATTAATGCTGAATTGACAAGAAGACTGAGGGCAAAGGACAGCCTTTAGCTGGTGTTTCTGGTTTCTCGTGTTTTTACAGACCCATTAGGAATTGTTAAAAAGTGATATTTCTTAAAGGGAGTTTGGTGCAGGGAGCTTTTAGTTGAATTCAAAACCGATATGTACATTTTTAAAACATTTTGTTTCAACAACAGAAACACTAGGTAACTGCTAAAGTACGATAATGTTGTCTGCGGTTAAACTGCCGTTAGTCATTAGTTTGATTAATGCTCTAATAATGTGTGTATTGATTACTGACACTGGCTGATCAGACTGTTGTAATCAGTTTCTAATGGTAGTATGCTGTAAATGGTTGAGCGACTCCTTTCCTGCTTGTTATTAATGGTGTTATTAATGACTCCTGATGAAATATAGTTTAGAGACCAGTCAGACTGATTGTGAAAGATCTTGTACTGTGTGACCCCCTGTGAAAAGCAACAATACTCCCATTAAAAAGTTGTACATGGTACAGAGATTTTTTTTATTATTTTTTTTATTTTTTTTATTTTTTTCAGCAGCAGCAGAGTGCAATGCTGCCGCTACTGTGGCTCCTAGATACCTTCGACCCTTCCAGACTGTACAATATATGCTGCTACAATCCATTATCTGTCATATATAACTTCATCTTGCAGGTTAATACAACAGCTTGTAGCTAAAAATGGTTTGCAACATGACAAATATATTATAGAAAGGTTTGCTAACTAATATAAAAAAATATTGTATATTGTCCCAGACTGGATAATTACACACTGAAGCTGATGTTGCTCCAATACCCTTTCTCTTGATTGAGTTGTCTGCTCTCTGCTGGTGAAGAGGTCTATTAGTCAGGGAACTCAAATACAAGTAAAATCAGCTCCTGAATCCTGAAAGCTGCGCTTTCTGTGGTTGCCATGGTCACACAGAAAGCTGCGGTGGCAAGTTGAAAAAGTTGAACTATCATAAACTGGATGAATGCAAAGAGCTGGGCAACTTCTGAAGAGCGGCAGCCACCGCCTCTCTGCTTTCTGCTGCCATTGTTAAACTACTACTTATGGTTGCAAAGCTATCATTGGACAGTCGCTAATTGGAGGAGGGCTTTAGTGAAGATCAATTCTTTCTTAGACATTGTTCAAACATCCCCTGTCAGGTCTTTCTTGAAAAATCATAGCTAACAACAGGCAATAACCTTTCAGCCTGACATCAACAAGGCTACCAATGAGCTATTAGCATGACATTTTATGAGTCAGTGCAGTGAATAAATATGGTCATAATACATAACATTTTCTCTAGGAAATGCTCAGCCAGGAATATACACTCTCCTAGAGCTTTGATTCTTCGAATGAATCCTAGTCCCTCCCACTGGAATGTCACTTAGCCTATAGGTGGTGCCCGTTACAATATGATGGAAGAAAAGGCTGAATACCACAAAGGCGAGTCAGGCAGTGCAGAAGTAGTGTTTTCTGTGGGAGACAGTAACTCTCTTTAGTGTGGACTTAGTGTTTGGTCACTTTACATGCATAAAAAATATTGCTTCTTAAATTAAACAGGCACTGGGAGTTTATACGCCCTTTTTTTCTTCTACTGGCCTGTATTTGGGACTGGACTTTATCTGTTCATGTCGACCTCTCCCCCAGCCATTGTTTGGAACCTGTTTTTTATTCGACTGAAGAAACACATTATTAAAAAATCTACAATGTTGTCTTGATAAATCAAAATTTCACTGTTTTTATTCAAACTTTAGACATGTTTCTGAAGTGTTGCTGTTCTCTGTAGGTGCTGTCTGATATGACCATACTCCAGCGGAGGATCCCCCCCAGTTTCAGAGACCCTGCCAGCGCCCCACTGAGGAAACTCTCTGTTGACCTCATCAAAACTTACAAGCACATCAATGAGGTATGACACAAGACAGTTATACAGCACCCATAGGCACACATACACCTTTTCATGTGTTTATCTTTTGACTTTTCTAGTTTGAATGACTTTTTCAGGTTTTCAGTGTATTTGCCTGTTTTCAGCATCATTGCTTTCTATTAGTTTATAATCTAGGAAATGATTGGCCTTAAGGGAAAAATTCCTGTACCAGGGTTTTCTTTTTATTTATCTATTTGCATTATTTTGGCCAGTAAAGTTAAAGTGCACATTAACTGGCTGCCTTCTGAATAATTTTGAAAACAAAGCAACATGAGCTGAATTAATATCAGCTGACACTTGCTGAAGTTGCTCCACTGAAGTGATTTGGCCAAGTAGTGCAACAAGTTTCTGTTAGTATTGTCTGTTATCTATAAATACACAACTGCATGTAATAAAAAATGTATTATTATAATATTTGATTTTGTTAGTTAATGCCAGTCCAAAAAAACGTAAACAAGCTGAGTTCTAACAAAGTCAGAGATAATGATTAAAATGATTAGCGCTGATCTTGACCCCACTTTGTGATTCAGTTGTATGAGCATTGTTAGCAGGAGTTGGTCCTGACCCTGAGCAGTAGAGGTTTGCGTTGGGCGACCACTGAGACATTTGTGTGTACTGTAAGTGTGCATAACTGGTATGAACAACAGAAGACTCTGCTTTACATCAGGGACAAATAGCTACTGTATAGTGCTGTGAAATTGTGAAATAAGGATATTTACTGGTATGCAGATGATGTGAAGTTTGTTTTTTCATCAGGTGTACTATACTAAGAAGAAGCGGCGGGCCCAGCAGGTCCCTCCAGAGGACAGCAGCACCAAGAAGGAGAGAAAAGTGTACAATGATGGCTATGACGACGACAACTATGACTATATTGTCAAAAATGGAGAAAAGTGGCTGGACCGCTATGAGATAGACTCGCTGATTGGAAAGGGCTCCTTTGGACAGGTGAGATTGACAAAGGAAACTTTGGTATTAAAACTGAATCCACATTTAAAACCAACTCCTCTGTAGCACAACATAAA